AGCCGAGTCACGTGACATTCTATAGCTTCACTCCGCTACGGTCAACACCACGGCAGCGTCTAAAGATACGCACCGCAACAGTCTTTGAATTCGCAACTATCGATCGTTCACTTCACGCCACCCGAGCGATTCCGACCGACTTCTCGACCCCCCCCCCCGCCCCCGGTCACACACGCGCACGACTGCAGATTCTGCGGATTAACTCAACAATACAGCGCATGCCCAAGGTAGCACCCCTCTGGGACAGGAATCTGTCGACTAAGCGAGGCTTTCCCGGGTAAATACAGAGGCTCTCCCCCCCCCACCGCCACCCGTACTAAACTATCTTCACGCATTAGCGGTGGACTGCCAGAGACTCGTATTTATGAGAACGCAAAGCAATCGCGTTGGTGTCGGGGCACTCCCGAAATTGAGCCGAGATTTTTAACGGGCGGGCGACGAGTGAAGCGTGGCGATGGGGAGCACACATCACACACGTCACACACGTCACACACACGTCACACACACACACGTCACACGCACATCACACACGTCACACACACACACACACGTCACACACGTCACACACACACACACGTCACACGCACATATCACACACACACACACGTCACACACGTCACAAACACACACACACGTCACACACATCACGCACGAGCACCGGTTGGTCAATCCACTGCTGGGCGAGCGTCGTCCCTGCCACAAGCGTTGTCTACGAGTAGTTCTCTGCGATAAATGTCCACGCGATAAGCCACTTCATTGGGCTATCATTTGTGGCCGGGTCGCTTCTGGCAAAGAGCCGGACACAGCTTCCTGGGCTTTACCTGCTAAAATAACAACAATAGTTTAATAGTTCTAGATTTGAAGCTTTCGTGACTGCAAGGATTCATATTCTTAGGTGTTTTCGGTAAAGTCACGTAGGTAAAACATTAAAATTAATAAAAGTAAAATAAAATAAAAATCACGACGTTTCGGAGGCAACACAAGTCTCCGTCATCAGGTGGGACCGTCACAGCCAGATTTGCTTGAATCATTGCCTCACTTGATGCAGCAAATCTGGCTGTGACGGTCCCACCTGATGACGGAGACTTGTGTTGCCTCCGAAACGTCGTGATTTTTATTTTATTTTACTTTTATTAAAGTTTAATAGTTTTAATTCGAGTGCAACACAACAATGGATCTAGGCCGCATTGCCCTCTGCTGTCGCCACCGCAGCCTATAACACCTGTTACGTTCATGGCGGTGGTCGCCCATCGAAGCGCTAATCAAAGCTCACTCATTTGCCAGTAAAAATATAATTGTTTTTTTACCCTTCTATCTGGCAACAAAACTGACACCTTTTTTTACATGGAGTCATGTTTGCATAGACCACAATACCTGCAGTCGTAAATGCCAACAAAAAACATAACTCTGATAATGTATGCACTGTCCTTGAAGTTGATTGGTCCACACCCGAGACAGCTTTCCTTAGAGCCTAGTCTCACATGGTGTTGGACCAGATGACGCCAAAAGGCGCACAACTCAAAGACAATGCACCATCAGAGTATGAGAGCTCGGGGTAAGCATTTACACCATTGGAACGTCATTTGCCAGTAAAAATATGATAATTGTTTTTTTACCCTTCTATCTGGCAACAAAACTGACACATTTTTTACAAGGAGTCATGTTTGCATAAACCACAATACCTGCAGTCATAATAACATAACTCTGAAGGACAGTGCACATTATCAGAGTTATGTTTTTGTTTGCATTATGGCTGCAGGTATTGTGGTCTATGCAAACATGACTCCTTGTAAATAAATGTGTCAGTTTTGTTGCCAGATAGAAGGGTAAAAAAACAATTATCATATTTTTACTGGCAAATGAGGTTCCAATGGTGTAAATGCTTACCCCGAGCTCTCATACTCTGATGGTGCGTTGTCTTTGAGTTGTGCGCCTTTTGGCGTCATCTGGTCCAACACCATGTGAGACAAGGCTCTAAGGAAAGCTGTCTCGGGTGTGGACCAATCAACTTCAAAGACAGTGCATACATTATCAGTGTTATGTTTTTTTTTGCATTATGACTGCAGGTATTGTGGTCTATGCAAACATGACTCCTTGTAAAAAAGGTGTCAGTTGTGTTGCCAGAAAAAAGGGTAAAAAAACAATTATCATATTTTTACTGGCAAATGAGGTTCCCATAGTGTAGATGCTTACCCCGAGCTCTCATACTCTGATGGTGCATTGTCTTTGAGTTGTGCGCCTTTTGGCGTCATCTGGTCCAACCCAGTGTGAGACTAGGCTCTAAGGAAAGCTGTCTCGGGTGTGGACCAATCAACTTCAAGGACAGTGCATACATTATCAGAGTTATGTTTTTTGTTGGCATTACGACTGCAGCTATTGTGGTCTATGCAAACATGACTCCTTGTAAAAAAGGTGTCAGTATTGTTGCCAGATAGAAGGGTAAGAAAAACAATTATCACGTGGGGTTGTTTGCTCCGCGCGTACACGCCACATCGCCGCGTTCACCGAGAGGCGTTTCGACGCGTACAGGAACTCGTGACTAATGCCATCTGTTGCAGGCGAACCTGCCAAAAAAAAGGGTGAAAAAACAAACAACCCAGTGCAGGCAACCAACGTTTTAGAAGCAGCAATTGGGACTTTTCGTCGGCCGAAGAGGATTTCAGCCCGATGCGTTTATTAATATACTTATTCATTTATATATTTATTTCAAGGGGAAATGCGATATTGCCAAAAGCAGCTGCCGGGGGAGGGGGAGGGTAGAGCGGGGAGGGAGGGGGTGTCGGGGCGATCGACAATGACAAGAATAATAATAGTAGCATCGACGGAGGAGGGCGGCATCGACGCCAAATATAACAGCGTGGGGTGGGGGGGGGCGGTGAAGTACGCCGTGACCGAGCGGCGCTCATCCGCAGTGACCCGCGGTCTCTCTCGGGGGGGGCGGACCGCCCGACCGGACGGGCAGCGGGGTGGGGGGGGGGCACCGTGCACACGTGCTGGTCTCACGTTTGCTGTGCTGCACGACTGCCGGTTGTTGTTGTGGTGGCGTTGATGTTGTTGTTGTTGTTGACGATGATGATGTTGTTGTTGTGGTGGCGTTGTTGATGATGTTGTTGTGGTTGTGGTGGCGTTGATGATGCTGTTGTTGTTGATGATGATGCTGTTGTTGTGGTGGCGTTGATGATGTTGTTGTTGTCAACGATGATGATGTTGTTGTTGTGGTGGCGTTGTTGATGTTGTTGTTGTCAACGATGATGATGTTGTTGTTGTGGTGGCGTTGTTGATGCTGTTGTTGTCAACGATGATGATGTTGTTGTTGTGGTGGCGTTGTTGTTGTTGTCAACGATGATGATGTTGTTGTTGTGGTGGCGTTGTTGATGCTGTTGTTGTTGTTGTGGCGTTGATAATGTTGTTGTTGTTGTCGACGATGATGATGTTGTTGTTGTTGTCGACGATGATGATGTTGTTGTTGTTGTCAATGATGATGATGTTGTTGTTGTTGTTGTCAATGATGATGACGTTGTTGTTGTTGTTGTCAATGATGATGATGTTGTTGTTGTTGTCAATGATGATGATGTTGTTGTTGTTGTCAATGATGATGATGTTGTTGTTGTCAATGATGATGATGTTGTTGTTGTCAATGATGATGATGTTGTTGTTGTCAATGATGATGATGTTGTTGTTGTCAATGATGATGATGTTGTTGTTGTTGATGATGATGATGTTGTTGTGGTGGCGTTGATGATGCTGTTGTTGTTGATGATGTTGTTGTTGTGGTGGCGTTGATGATGCTGTTGTTGTTGATGATGTTGTTGTTGTGGTGGCGTTGTTGATGATGTTGTTGTGGTGGCGTTGATGATGCTGTTGTTGTGGTGACGTTGATGATGATGTTGTTGTTGTCGATGATGATGATGATGTTGTTGTTGTCGATGATGATGATGTTGTTGTTGTTGTCGATGATGATGCTGTTGTTGTCGATGATGATGATGACGTTGGTGGTGTTGATTATTGTGCTTTTGGTGGTCAAATTGATTTTACTGGTGTGGATGATAGTGGTGGTCTTGATGATGGTGGTGACGATTACTGTCATGGTTTTGATGATTATAGTGGTAGTATTGATAATGATGGTAGTAGTGGTACTGATGATGACGATGATAGTGGGGGTATTGATGATAATAGAAGCAGTATAGATGATGACGATGATAGTGGGGGTATTGATGACGATGATAGTGGTATTACAGATTATGATAGAAGCAATATGGATGATGACGATGATATTGGTAGTATTGATGATAGTGGTATTTAATGATGATGCTAGTTGTGGTATGGGTGATGACGATGATCGTCGTGGTATTGATGATCGTGGGGCTATTGGTGAAGATGACGACAACAGTAGCGGAGATGATAGGCGTGGAATCGATCATGATCATATTGATTATGAAGATGAGTGTGGATGTATTGATCATTATTGTGGTGGTATCGATGACGACGATGATGATAAAATCACTTCAGCGGAATATGAACTTCTGATGATGAAATCACTTAGGAATATGAACTTCTGATCTCTCAATCAAAGGTCCCCACCTGAAATCAACTCAACTTTAAAATCCCCCGAGAGAGCTTCGGGGGGGAGGGGGGTTGGGAATTCAGTGAGCGAGCATCTATTAACCCCTTTCCCATCCCGATGACGTCCGTGTACGTCGTCTGCACGGAACCGGAAAAAAAAAAACATCGTTACCGAGGCTGCCACAGCTGGGCGCCGGCAATCGCTAGGGGCAACGGCGGTCGCGTGGCCACAGTTCTCCGCGGTGAGCAACGTCGTCTTTAAAAACAGCGGCGCTGCGACCACGCCGCTCTGAAAATGAGCCGATTGCGTCGTTCCGAGATTCGGCGGTGAACGGAACAACCCAAACCACCCCCCCACCCCACCACCCCACCACCCACCACCCCACCGCCGCAGCAACTTGGCACGCACGTCACGCAACGGGAAAGGGTGAACTCACGCCGCGAGCAGGACACAACACAGACGAGTCGCTCGTGCGTCTCCCCCGTTCCGCCGCCTGACAGCGATCACCGCCGACCACGAGGTAGTAATTCCGGGCTGAGACAACCTAGGCAGAGAGAGGGAGGGAGGGAGGGAGGGGAGGGTCCCACACCGTGATCAGATAAAGAATGCCAACGGGGTTTTTACTTGTCAGCAGAGGTCGCAAACGGGTTTTGATTCCTTACCTACCCGTACCCAGCCGCACCAGGGTCGCAAATGGGTACCCGTACGGGCGGCTGGGTACGGGTACCCGTTCCCGTACCCGTACCCGTACCTGAAATGAGTGACAAACGGTTACTCACCAGTGACTCACGGCCTACCCGTACCTGGCCGCACCAGGGTCTCAAACGGCTACCCGTACCTGGCCGGGCACGGGTAGCCGGGTATCGGGTAGGGTACGGGTATCGGGTAGGGTACGGGTATCGGGTAGGGTACGGGTATCGGGTAGGGTACGGGTATCGGGTAGGGTACGGGTATCGGGTACCCGGTTGCGACCTCTGCTTGTCAGGAATCGACCCCATGCGGCACACGCTGGGGGGTGGGAGGGGGTCGTGGTGGGCGTCCCTGGCCATTACGCCGACACAATAGTCGTGCCATCGTGTTTCCACAATGCGAAATGAGTACGTACACGTGTGTGCGTGTGCGCGTCTGTGTGTGTGTATAGTGATAGTGCAGCAGTTAGCGCGCTGCGCTATGAACCCGGCGACACGAGTTCGATTCCCACTCACGGCCAATACCAGTGACGATTATCTGAACCGGTCCCGGGCCTCCCCTAGGTCGACTCAGCCTCAAATGAGTACCTGGTGCGGTGTGTAAACATTGCCACTGGGGAGACAAAGGCGGTCGGGGCGTGGTGCTGGCCACCCACCCCCTCGTGTACCGTTCCGGCCTTCATAGGTGCTCGCTAACAGCACTTGCCCCTACAGTCTGTTAAGGCTATATGGGGGATCTTTGTTTGGATCTTTGTTTGTATATTCAGAATGCTGATGCTGCCGTGGTGCAATGTTAGCGGTTGGCTCACTGGCGGATCCAAGTTCAATTCCCAGGCAATGGCGAGTGGTTCACTGGTCTTTTTCTCACCGCCCTCACCCAACGGTACTGACCAGCACAGTCAAGTCTCGTCAAACCCCCCCCACTCCCCTCTCCCATGTCGTCTGACACCACATCTGGGATGGGCCTTCGTCCCGCAGTGCAGGGATACTGCCGTGACGTCGCGGTCAGCAACACCACACCAGGTACTCATTTAAGGCCGAGTCAACCTAGGGGGAAGGCCCAAGATCAGCTCGGAAAAGTGCCGCTGTTGTCGGTGGCCGCGAGCGGGAATCGAACTCGGGTCACCAGAGTTCGCAGCGCGAGCTCGCTGAACCGCTACGCACCACACCAGGTACTCATTTAAGGCCGAGTCAACCTAGGGGGAAGGCCCAGGCTCCGTTCGGAAAACCGCCGCTGTTGTCGGTGGCCGCGAGCGGGAATCCAACTCGGGTCACCAGAGTTCGTAGCGCGAGCTCGCTCAGCCGCTACGCCACCGTTCCGCGTCACACAAACACGCGCGCGCGCACGCACGCGCACACCGAGTACACTATTTACAGCAGACTGTTTTAATAAAGCTGCTCGTACTTTGAACCAGACATTCTTTCCCCTCCCGTTTCCACCCAGCCAGCTTTAACCTCTCGACAGGGTGAAGCAAAGTCAGCTGGGAAAATGCCTCGTGGGCTACATGTCAACTACCTCGCCCGGTATACAGGAGGTCGTGGGTTTCATGATCCTGACCTTGACGTCATGGTGGCTGGGAGATGTTAACTACCTCACCCGGTATACAGGAGGTCGTGGGTTCATGATCCCGACCTTGACGTCACGCTAGGAGATGTCAACTACCTCGCCCGGTATACAGGAGGTCGTGGGTTCCATGATCCAGACCTTGACGTCACGGTCGCTAGGAGATGTCAACTACCTCGCCTGGTATACAGGAGGTCGTGGGTTCCATGATCCAGACCTTGACGCACGGTGGCTAGGAGATGTCAACTACCTCGCCCGCTATACAGGAGGTCGTGGGTTCGATCCCGAACCCTGAGAAAGTAGTGGATTATACGACGCATTCTTTCCACTGTTTTGTATATCAAAGCAAACGTAGTTTAGTTTAGTTACACCGCAGCAGCATCCTGTTACAACATTTTTCTATTTTACCAGGTGAGGCCAACTGAGCTGTGTAGCTCTTTTTCAGAAGCGACCTGCCCACAAATGACAGCTCAAACGAAGTGGCTTATCACGCGGAAATGTATAGCAGCCAAATGCTCTAAACCCACGTTGATTCTAAATGTGGAGGGGAAAATCGGAGCCGGAGAAAAATCCACGCGACCACGGGGAGAACATGCAAACTCCAGATATACAGCAGGCATCAGGAAACCCACGATCTCCTGCATAGCAGGCGAGGTAGTTAACATCTCGCCACCGTATGAAATAAATCCTGAAAAGAGCAAAACATGAACAACAAACTTCTGCTGTTTGAATGTTTATCACAGACACACACACACAACTGGCAACAGCTACACGATGAAGAAGCAATGAGTGCCAGTGAAAAGCATAGCCATTGTTGGCAACTGTTTACACACAGACACTGCTACATGACCTTCATACAAAAACTGGTCCAGAGCACAATTGACCTGCGCGCAAACCACATCCGATTTGTGCGGTTGGCTTCATACGGCGGCAAAGAAGTTGAGCGGACGCACACATACCACGCGCCCGTTGTCGTCACATCTCGCAAGCCAAGCAGGTTTTGGGCCCGCAGAGTGACTGGATTGGGTGGCCGTCACGCGTAAACGCTTCACGAAATTTGCGTGTCACGCGTCACGCGTAAAGACACGGTGGTGATAGGCTCACAACAATCGGCAGCAGCGGGAGAGAGGGGAAGAGATTTGGCTCGGTCTCTAACGAGTACCCGGTGCGGTGTGTGGCCTTCATAGGTGTGACTGGCTAAACAGCACTTGCCCCAACAGTCTGTTAAAGGCTATACGGGAGTGGGGGGGGGGTCTTTGTCTTTGGGAGAGATTCAGGGTGGGGGTGGACGCACACGAAAGTCGTGTGAGATTTAGGTAGATGTTGTTAAAGTTTGAGATGCGTTCCCGAAGCTCGGAAAAAAATCCCAACAATTGGGATAAGGTACCCAAATCTCGGCCAATACGGAATAAAAATTATTATTTTTTGCTAATTACCGTTCGATTCGAATTGTGACATCCCGTGCAACCGCTTTTCTCTGGCAAAAAAAAATCGGCATTCCAGTGGCACCGGGCGAAGTTACGCGTGGAAATTATTAGACCCAAAGCTGACGAACGGGGGGGGGGGGGGGAATACAAAAACGCAAATTGTCCTGAATCATATCCGAACACACGAAATACAAACATCTTAAATCGATTAAAAACGATCCCTACAATTTACCCAGCCCGTGAGCTAACAGCCCCCCCTCCCCTCCCAGAGGCATTGCGTACACGTCGGAGAAGGCAAAGGTGCAGCCCTGCAATTGCACGCTCGCATCGCGACTGTGACGAAAGAGCCTTCACTTAAGAGGGAGCCTATCAAGACAGCCCCCATCCAGAGGTGTTATTTGGCCTAATCTTCCACGCTGCCCGCTACATCTGGTGGGGGGGGGGGGTGTAGCAGGGGGGGGGGAGAGGTGGGTCAGGCGCGCACGTTGTAGCGCTCTGCTAAACCACGTTGTCGTATGGCTTGCGGTCACACGAGACTTGTCAAATATCACTCGCCCGCCCGCCTGCCCGCACGGCAGGCACATCAGCAGTGTAGCAAGGCGGTGGGATCCAGACTTGAAACCGGCTTGGCCGTTATCGTAAGAGGGGGGGGGGGGGGAAGAGAGACGCAAAAGGAATGAAATTCGATTTAAAGCTTTCGTGACTGCAGGGATTCATCTTCTTGGTTCTTTCGGTAAAGTCACATAGAATGGAATCAATAAGTGATTATTTCTAATTTTTATTATTTTACTATTTTACCTTCTACGTGACTTTACCGCAAGAACCAAGAAGGAAAAAGGAATGATTTTTTAAATAAAATAAACCCAACCACACACAGACAAAGTTCCCCCATGTAGCCTTCAGACTGCTGCGAGCGAGCACCAATGAAGGCCACCACGGCACACGAGAGGGGTGGGTGGCCAGCATCACGCCCGACCGCCTTTGTCTCCCCAGTGGCGATGTTTTTACACACTGCACCAGGTAGCTATTTGAGGCTGAGTCGCCCTAGGGGAGGCCCCATGACCGGTTCAGGTAATCGCCGTCATCGGCGTTGGCGGCCGTGAGCGGGAATCGAGAACTCGGGTCGCCGGGTTCGTAGCGCTGCTAACTCGCTACACCACGGCTCCCACACACACAAAGACAAAGATCCCCCGTATAGCCTTAACAGGCTGTAGGGGCAAGTGCTGTTAGCGAGCACCTATGAAGGCCGGAACGGTACACGAGGGGGTGAGTGGACAGCACCACGCACGACCGCCTTTGTCTCCCCAGTGGCGATGTTTACACACCGCACCAGCTACTCATTTCAGGCCGAGTCGACCTAGGGGAGGCCCAGGACCGGTTCAGAGATAATCGTCACCGGTGTTGGCCGTGAGCGGAAATCGAACCCGGGTCGCCAGGTTCATAGCGCAGCGTAGCGCTAACCGCTACACCTACCGCTCCCCACTACACACACACACGTGCACACACACACGGGCACACACACACGCAGGCACCCATGAGTCAGGTCAAAGGTATGCGCAGTGCCTCTGCTGCGGTAATTGTGCAGGCGGCGGTGACGTAATGTTTGCACGAGTAACTCTGTCGTTCGTGGCTTTACACGGCGCGTTGCTGCCCGCCCGACCGGCCAGCCAGCCAGCCGGACCCACCACCTCTCACAGCTCTCCCCTCCACCCTACACCTGACCCACCACCACCCCCCCACCACCACCACCGCTGCTGCTTTAGCCTGGATCCCGTTAAGGAAGCCAACGAGAGACGGTGGAGGGAGGGGGGGAGCGATGCGGTGAAAACTCATTACGGGAATATCGCGGCGAAACTTAATTAAG